AAAGCTTAGAGAGCAAAAGACTTATTGGAGCTTATTCATATAGATATTTTCAGACAAATTAGGACACCATCACTTCATAACAATAGATATTTTATCTTTTCATTGATGACTTTTTTAGAATTACTTGGTCTACTTCATCAAAGAAAAATCATAAGTCTTTAGAAAATTCAAAAAGTTTAAGGCCCTTATCGATAAGTAAAGTAGTAAACCGATAAAAGTATTAAAAAGTGATTGTGGCAAAAAGTATACTTTCTAAGAGTTTGATAAATTTTGTGAGGATAAAAGCATTAAACAACAACAATTGCCATAGCATATTTTCTATAGTAAAATGGAGTAAGTGAGAGAAAAAATTGCACAGTAATAGAGATGATTAGATTGATGTTAGAAGTAAAAAAAATTATCAAATACCTTTTGGGCTGAAATAACTTATATTGTTGTTTACATACTTAACAGATATATAACTAAGGTTTTCCATGAAAAAAATTTCAATTGAAGTTTGGAGCGGGCAAAAACTATTAGCAAAACACTTAAGGATTTTTGGATCTATTTGCTACATACACAATCTAGAAGAGGAGACACAAACTAGAAGACAAAATCATACAGGGTATCTTCTTGGAGTATAGCACACGGTCAAAAGGATATTGAATATACAACTTGTAAACCAAAAAGCTCACTATTAGTCGAGATGTTGAAGTTGATGAAAATGCTGCTTGAAATTGGAAAGGTGAAAAGGTTTAGAAAAATGTTGAATATACAAATGCAACAACCTTAAAAAATGTTGAATATACAAAGGTGAAAAGGTTTACAAAAGCTCACTTCAAATGTTGAACAAGCTTATTTGTTGAAGGTCACTCCACACCCTGTATAAAGAAGTCTTGTGCTTCTAACAAAGATATCTTTTTTTCACACCATCTTCATCATCTTTTTCTGAATTTGGACTTAATCAACCATTGAAAGTTATTAGAGAGTGAGAGATCATTGACAAAGACGACGAATGTTCTTTTGAAGTTCAAGTAAGTGATTGAGCACCTCTTAGAGAATGAGAACTTTTGTCATCTTCCTTCCCTTTTGGGTTTCATTAGTTTAAGCTCTCATTTGAGTTTTTATGGATTTGTTTATAATTTTTTTGTTATGAGTAACTAAATTCATAGCTAGAATTATGGTTAATCTTATTGCATACTCTATGGTTTCCCTTTTATATTTTATCCTATTAAATTATATTTTACATGTTAAAAGTTAATCACCTTATCTAATAATTAGTTGCATTGTAAGCGGCCGTACCATATGTAATTAATGTAACTATAGGATAAAATAAGATAAAAAGTTTGACATATCAAACTTAATTCTTCTCTTTCAACTATTATTAAATTAACAAAATCATTGATTCTTTATGTTTTCTCTACCTTTTTTCTTGCATAATTATTGAGGGTAATTACCTAAGGAAAAGAATATTAATTTTGCATAATCATTGATTGTTAATAGAATAAATATGGGTAGTTGACAAACATAGGATACCAATATTGGAATTAAAATAATTAAAATATAGAGGTGTAATATGTGTGTCGCAACTGGGGGCACGACTGGACAACAATGACAGGGAGTCGCCACCAAAGTTTATTAAAGAAAAATATTGGAAAAACTTTTAATATAAATAATCTTTGAAACTAAATTTGTGTTCGAGAGTCGTTTACGTGTAGGGAAAGTATTAGCATCCTACGACGTCCGTTAATTAAAACGGTTACTTTTTAATTAATTGTGCAAAAATTATTTTTACTTTAAAAATATTTATTTCACTCTAAAAGAAAATCATTGATATTTTTATTTTTATTTTTTATGTCTCCTTATTTTTTAGTCTTATTTCTTATTCTTACAATTTTTTTCAGGTTTTAATTTTATATTTTTTTTATAAAATAATACAATTAAAATTTTTGAATTAAAGGAATGAATTATATAAAAAAAAAGCTATTTTTTTTAGTATTAAATAGATTTAAATAAAATATGACATGATTTTTTTTTCTTAAAGTAAGAATCCTTTTTTTTATATTTTCTATTTTTAAATAAAGAGCTAAAAATATAACTTGAATTGGAAAGTGAATTATTTATAAAATATTTTTCTTTTTTTATTATCATATTAAATAAATTTGACTAAAATTCCACTTATTTTTTATTAAGTAAAAATTCATTTTTGATTTTTTTTTCCAGTAAAGAACTAAAAATTTAGTTTTAATTGAAAAATGAATTATTTACAAAATATTATTCTCTTTTTCTCTTATTTTCATATTAAATAAATTTAAATAAAATTTAACTTGTTTTGTATTTTTTTAGTAAAAAAAATTCTTTTTTTTTATTTTTGAATAAAGAGTTCAAAAAATTTAATTTGAATTAGAAAAATAGATTATTTATAAAAATATTTTTTATTTTTAAAATAAATTTAAATAAAATCTAACTTGATTTTTCTTATATTAATTTTTTTAATGAAAATTCATTTTTAATATTTTTTTATTTTTAAATAAAGAACTATAAAAATTGAATTTTGACTTGGGAAAATGGAATATTGATAAAATATTATTCTCTCCTTTTTTGTATTTAAATAAATTTAAATAAAATTTAACTTGATTTTTTTAATTCATTTTTTATTATATTTTTTTACTTCTAAATAAGGAATCATAATTAAAAAAAATTTAATTTTGAATTGAGAGAAAAGATTAATCATAGAATATTATTGCCTCCTCTCTCTTTTTTTTTTTTTTTTACATTTTGACATTAATGAAAATAATCTTAAAATATTTTTTCTTGACATTTTATTTACTTATCCTTTTTGTTAAAATAAAAATAAAAATTTCATTATTTTTAAAATTATTTTGAATTACTCATAGTTTAAAATTTTTCTTAAAATAATTTAAACCTGAAAAAATAAAATAAAATTTTTTGGACTTGAAAGGTCAAGTTCTCGCTCCTACGTATCTCTCGTATGCAACGGAAGAATCAAAGCTACCACATAGTTCTTTTGAAAATTGGGTTTGGATGAGTTTCAAATTTTTTTTTTAGCTTGACTTTTACTTTGTTATTATTTTTTGTAAATCCACTCCTGCACAGGGTTCAAGTTAGTACACGACTACTCAATAAATTATTACGATTCAAGCAATGTTGAAGGTGGATCCACCACTCTGTCAAAATTACTTGGTCGTACGTGGATTTAAAAGACCCATTTTTAGATAACCAAAATGTCTTATTAATATTGAATTTTTTGTACAATAAAAAATAAACGAGAAATATATAGAACAATAAAAATAAATACAAGAGCAAGAAAAAATAACAAGAAAATAATTATTGTTTGATTTAGGAATCATTTTTAGGAATTTGCAAAAAAATTGAAATTTTTAAGATTTACAAAAAAAAAAAAAGAGTTTTTAGGGTTTGTAAAAAAAAGGACACCTTTGGGTAGAAAATGTTTTAGGGTTTGCAAAAAAGATATTTAAGGTTAGAAAAGAAATTTTTTAGGGTTTGCAAAAGGACATTATTGTGTAGAAAATATTTTAGGGTTTACAAAAAAGGATATTTTAAGGTTAGAAAATGTTTTAGGGTTTGCAAAAAAGGGTATTTTAAGAGAAAAAATATTTTAGGGTTTGCAAAAGGCAAAGCAAACAACATTTTTTTAGATTTTATTTTAGGGTTCGGGAAGATTAGGGTTTGCAAAAAGAGACAATTTTATTTAAAAAGTGGTCGATATATTTAGTGTGAACAAACAAAATACAGGAAAGGCAGAACTAAAAGCAAAGTACGCATACTAAAACAAAGAGGTTTTTTTGTTTAGAAATAAAATATGAGACTTTTAATATGAACAGAAGGAAGAAATGAGAGCAAGATAATAGATGAAAGGATATTTTGTTTAGAAACAAAACTCGAGACTTTAATATAAACAAAAAATGCACAAGCAAAAATGAGAGCAAAATAATAGATAAAGAACAAAACAACAAAAAGGAAATCTTACTTGATCTGGAGAATAAGAATTTCGTTAGTTTTATCCTTCAACTCTTTTAGTTTATTCTCTCTGTTAACCTCAGGTGTGTCTTGGTATACTCTCAGTTGATTTCTTTTTAGCTCTCTCCTATTTCTCTTCATTCCCCGAGCTATCTCTCTTTTTCTCCCTATGCTCTCAAAGTGTCCCATAAAAAATAAAGTGTAAAAAGTTGCATTATTATCTCTTTTTCTCTCTATAATTATCTCATCTAATTTTTGTAAAAAGTTGCATTATTATCTTTTTATTGTTTTTTAAATTTAAATTTTTCTCATTTTAATTTATCACGCATCCTTTAGTTTAAACAATTAAATCAATATATTTTTGATACTTGAAAATAATCTCTATGTGACAATAACTCAAGAACTTAAAATCTTTTATTACTTTTCGACGAATACATTCTTCTTCTGTAAACAAATGTTTTATTCAAACTTTTTTAACTATCATTTTCAACTATTTTAACTAATATATTTCAACAATCTTACTCATCTTTTATACCAAAAAAATCATCCGTTATCTGCTTATTCGATTATTATATAAGTTAAAGTAATAGTTGTTATTAAAAATGGGATGTGGAAACCAGACTGCAACACTTCAAGAAAAGTTGAATGGTTTTGTACTGAGTGAATCCATATCCGTGGCAGGAATTCAACAAATAAAAACCTTGTTTTCAAAATTCCATTGTTCTAATTATGATTTTAGCTTTCAGATTGTACCGGGTACTCTTGAATGCTCAAGATTTTAGTGCCGATATAGCCAGTTAGGTTCCAAAATAAATTTTGATTTGAAGCAATATGGATTCTCTTAATTGATCATTTGATGGCCTAAGGTCTTGCTAAAACATAAATTAACTAGTTAAGCATATTTAGAAACATTGCAAGGCAGCACGAAGCTGATGGCTGTTTATTGCACATGGATACATACAGCCACTTATTTAACATTACACAGGCTGACAGCATTTGCCTCCTCACGCATGCAGCCACTAAAACAAAGTAACCCATTTTTGGTTAGGGTTACCAGTCCATGACCAAAGTATTATCTGTTTAAGACTTGGATCAGAGTTTTTCACATCCATCACCATTTCGTCGTATAAACTATAAATGGTACCATCATTTTGAAACACCCATCGTTGGCTAGCCCATGCATTGCTACAAGCCATCATGACAATGATTGCTCCTTCTTTGTGTTCCTGGGAAGTTAAACAGTTGTTTTCATTTTGCACAGGACGTATAGAACCATCTGGGTAAAGTGACCATTGCTGCTCCTCCTTATTTCTATCACAGTCAGCCAGCCACATGTTATTTCCGTGAGCTTCCATGCAGAGATCCAAATACCCAGCAATTGATGTTACAAAAGGGCTTGGGTCAGTGCCTGTGCGCCAGCCCTGTCGCATTCGATATTCATTTTTTTGCACAGATAGTGTCCCTCCCATGGCACTAGATTCAGCACTCAAGACCAAGGCAGACTTTGGATTGATAATCGTTCCATTTTCCCATATCTCCCAATAAGTGGCCTCCGCTACTGCCGAGGTACAATCATATATCATGACGTAGTTCCCTGGAGCATAACCGTATGTAGTTAAACACTTCCCCTTGGACCTTATCGTCTTGTCTTGTTTCAAGGTCCACAGCTGGTTCTCTTGGTCTGTGCATTTCCACATTATGATAGAATTGCCGTCGTTATAGGCATTGTCAGACACATCCACGCACATCCCATCTCGACCAGCAATGTGTACGGTTGGTTCAAAGGAATTGCAGGTCTCTGATCTTTCCACAATTGATCTTATTACTAGAGGTGATTGGTTTGCAATTGGATTGCAGACAAAAAGCATCAGTGCTAGAATGGGAACAACACTGGCCACGGAATCTACAATAACAGGTTCGCTACGATGATTTGTTAACACGACATTATTTGGAAAAGTTCCTTGCACTGATTGTTGAACACCTCTTGATAGACCACTCCAATTGTTCTCCAAACTTAACATGGGAGAATCAGGCAGAAACGTGTTACCAGTTCGGATGCTGACACGAACCCGGCGTGATATGTACTCAAATCGAGCTGCTTCTGCAACCATTTGGATTATCACGATCATGGACTGAGCTCTTTCTTGATTGTCATCGCGCTCACTACGTAGAAACGATATCGTATGTATCAAGGGCTGTAACCCTAGTGTTATTTGCTCTCTAGACCGACGAGCCGTCCTCTCTAGATCACCGTAAGCACCAGTAAAAGGAAGTGTGAACTGCTCCGTGTGATTGAAAAGGTTGTTAAATGCAGATTGCGGGGCATCACGGAAGAAATAAGACCGACTTCCTGCTTGGTATGCTACAACGTATGCATTAGTCAGATCGATACCTATTTGGATAGATTCCGTCGCCGAGTTTGAGAGTTCGATTGTTACATATCGATTTCTATCTTGCACTGTTGTTGGATCTCTAAGGACAGGTATCTCATGTATCTGCCCACCTCTTAGACGGTCTCGAAGAACTTCAATGAACTGGTTGTAACTTTCTGAACTGGCACCTTCAGTAGTAAATTTGGGGTCCTCGTTTGTTGCTAATGGAGGATCGGCTCTTGCGGTACATCTCGGTGCAGCGAATGAACAAGCCCATGCACATAAAATCAGTAGCTTCAATGTTTCGTTCATTTGAAACTGCATAAAGTTGAACCAAATTTTAGCAATGGGATGAAATCAAACTAAAAGCAGTAATTCAAATTCAAAACCATCGTACTCCTAAAATCTGTAAGCTTATAGACGGGGACCTATTTTTGTAGTGTCTGTCATAGTAAGGAGTTTCCTTTAGGCACTATTGTTTAGAACGTTTGGTGAACTAACCATTTGTTTACTCTAACTGTGGGTGAAACAATTTAATGGTCGTTTTAGGACACCCAAACCGTAAAGGATGGCAAGGTAACGAGGTCTTCCTGCCTAAGATACGTAGCCAATTTCACCCAACAAGACCTTTCATGATTTAAGCAGGCCGGTGAATCTCAGCAAAGTTTTATCATATCTCTATATCTCTTTATATGAGAAAGGAATGCAAAGGATAAGCATTATAATGATCACAGACAAAGTCACAATTTTTTCACTTGTTTATATATATCAAAATCAGAAGAAAAAAGAGATACCGTATTGAGATTTTGCTTGCTTCTCAGTGTATTTGCAGGATGCTATATGCAGTGTTTGGTGTGGCTTGAAAGTTGGGGAGTCACCGTGCCTTTTATAGGCAGAGGTGTCTTGGACTATTGGTACCCCATCGGAATAAAAATCCCAAACACATCAATTAGTCATATATGTTGTTCATGTTTTTGGAGCATTATAGTGCATAATTTACATGTGACATCGGCTTGACAATTGTGGAGTCATTGAACCTTTTGCATGCAGAGGAATCTTGGACTATTGGTACCATCTCCGAATAAGATTGAAACACGCCAACTGGTCATATTTTTTCACCTATTTTTGGAGCATTAGTCTGATTTGCTCTATTGGAGCATTTGTCTATTTTCTCATGGTGCGTAATTTACATTTGCCATCGGCTTAACAATTGTGGACCCGTTGCACCTTTTGCATGCAGAGGGATCTTGGACTATTGGTACCATCTCCGAATAAAATTGAAACACGCCAACTGGTCATTTTTTTTACCTGGTTTTTGGAGCGTTAGTCTGATTTGCTCTATTGGAGCATTAGTCTATTTGCTCATAGTGCATAATTTGCATTTGCCATCGGCTTGACAATTGTGGACTGCCCATTCTCCTCCAGGATGCATGTTGTATCAACTTCATTGCACCTTTTGAATGCAGAGGGATCTTGGACTATCGGTACCATCTCCGAATAAAATTGAAACACGCCAACTGGTCATATTTCTTTATCGGTTTTTGGAGTATTAGTCTGATTTGGAGAGTGCAAAATTTACATGTGCTACGGGCCTAACAGTTCGGGCAACATTGATTGGGGACGTAATTTATTGCATTGTTGCTTCTGGCTAGCTTGAAAGTCGTGGGGTCATTGTCATTGTGCCATTTATTTTTTAAGATAAATATATTAAATATTAATATAATTCAGATAAAATTTGTTGTAACTTGAAATGTTAAAATTGTTATAAGGAATTTTTTAAATAATATAAAATACATTAAAATTTATGTTTTTTTTTTCTTTTTTTTAGACACGTGCATATATATATATATATGCCTGTCAATTTAATAATAATAATAATAATAATAATAATAGTAATAGTAATAGTAATAAGAAGAAGAAAAAAAAAAGCATGAGTTTATTAGCTCTTGTTCATGTGAAAGTCATGCATGATGCAGTAATACAATACTAAGTCATAAACAAGTTTTTGGAGGGTCACTTTAAATAGTAATTAGTAAAAATTGCTATATAATTATATATTTAAAAAATAGTTAGTATTAAACTAAACTCTAATATATATCTCTAGTAACAGTTAATTTTTAGTATACACTAAGAACAAATAACTAACTTACAATGAATAAGGAAGGTACAGTAATGTTATAAATAATCCAGTATCAAATACTAGTAATAATATCAGCCAAAGAACGCTCTCCTGTATTTAATGACGTTTTAATCTATTTTTAGATAGCAATTAATCTTCAAAATTGCCTTTGAGAACGGTTAGTAGATAACTATTTTTTAAATTTTTAGTTTATTTTATAAATAAAACACGTTCAACTTATATTTTAGAACAATTTTAAACATTCTCTAAATTAAAATAAAATTACTCTTACATCTTTTTACTAATATAGTGTAACATGCTTCATATTGCTTCATATTATATATATGAAGCATGTTATATAATAAAACAAAACTTGAATAATATATATATATATATATATATATATATATATTATTCAAGTTTTGTTTTATTATATAGACATATATTACCTATAAGAGCTCGGCCTTCCGGTCCAAAGACTAGTAAAAAGACATCATTATTTAGATAAGCTCAAAAGAAGTTTTGGCAGCAAATTAGGCAAATTATTGTACTACAAGTATCTTTATGATGAACGATGGCGAATAATGTTTGCAAACATATGCATCTAGATTGAATGAAAGCTTTTGCTCGTATTACAATCATTCAAAAGTAATCCGGAGAGACTTCATGTAGCTAAATATGCCTATATAATAAAAGAAAAATTCTTGCATAATATATATCCAAAGAAATAAAAAGGCAATCATATCTCTTAATTATTAAAGAAAAACGGGTAATAAACATCAGTAATTCAATCCAATAAGAACAAAAAAATGTCATTGATTGATCAAAAAGTTTAAGCAGGACAATCGGCAGAGACAAAATGAGAATTTCCTTTCCATGGATGAGTAGGTGACTACAGGAAAAAGGGTCTTAGCGGCGGTCTTTTTTCCTTTTTTGGCGGTTTAAATTGCTACAATTTGACACTTACGAAGGTTGCCAAACCGTTACCATTTCAGGTGTCGGGAGAATGGTTAGCAACGATTTTAAAAACCGCTAGAACAACCATTGCTATAAACAGTTTTGAGATAACCGTGGTTTAACCTGTATACAGCGGCGGCTGAACTGCCACAAAATACAACTAATAATAAAATGACAACAATATTGTGATGGTCGTAAAACCGCTGCCAAAAAATGACAACCACCACAAAAAAAAATGATAATAATTCAAAAATTATTATGTAATTGTAAAACTGTTGCAAAATAAAAAGAGGATAATAAGAATTTTGTTTTTTGTAAAATCACTGTAAAAAAATTAAGATAATAGGAAAATATTATTGCAACGGTTATAAAACTGCTGCCAAATAAAGAAAATCAAAACTTTTTCATTTGCTACATCATTTAATGTATTCCACTCTAAGTTGTTATATTCACTCACTCAAAAGAATTCTTTACTCTTAAAATACCCACTTGAGCTTTTGATCCTCCTTGATAAAAAATTGAACCTAACTTAACCCCAATTGTGACCAACAAAGCCCTCATGATAGGTGGTTCATTGTATCTAAGCAAAGGAGATTGAGAATATGGGCAAACATATGGTAGGGTGAGACAAAATGTATGAATTGAGGGAAAACACTTAGCCTGAAACATTGATGAGTGAAGAGTGAAACACCATCTTGTGAGTTAGATAATTTTTTTGTACTATGTAGATTGCATGAAACCTTGCTGGATTCTTGTTTCAGTTAAGTGGGACTTTGCTTGAAAATAATTGATATGGGCATGATTTTTTTGTTGAATGAAACCATGATTTTGAAAACATTGGAAGTGTCAATTAGAGTCTGATCTTGGAATGAAAATTTTGAAAGAAATTTTTGGATAAATCCAACCCTTCTACAAGTAACTTTCTTGAGTTTTGATTTGCTTGAGGACAAGCAAAAGTTTAAGTTTGGAGTTGTGATGAATCCACATTTTATTGGATTTTTACTTGTCTTTTTAGTGTTCTTTAATAGAAAAAGTAGACTTAGAGAATGTAAATAACATAGAAACATCATTTTGGTCAAATATCATAGGTTTCTTAATTTTTGGTTAATTTACATAGATATAATTTGTAATTTTGATCATTTGAATAATTGTGCAGGAATTTCTAGATTTATTCTATAGATTTTTAGTATTTGACAAAGTTTGAGTTGAAAGTGACCACTTTGGATTCCATAGTGGACACTACAACAAGCTAGATCCAGGAGGGCAGATCAAAGTGATCACTCTGGTTTCATAGTAGACACTACAGAGACCCCAATTTGAAGAGGTGATGCGTATAACTACTTTAGTCCCATAGTAGACACTACAGAGACCCCAATTTGAAGAGGTGATGCGTATAGCTACTTTAGTCCCATAGTAGACACTCTAGGACAGACCAAAATGATCACTATAACCCATAGTAGACACTCCAGAGAAGGCCAAAGTCACCCAGACCTGTGCGTAACTACTATGACCCATAGTAGACACTCCAGAGAGGGTCAACAACATGGTGACTTGTGCGTAATCACTATGAAACCATAGTAGCTACTATGGGAGTGCTTCGCGTCATCACTATGAACCATAGTAACTACTATGGGCAAAAATCTCTGCACTATAAATAGAACTTTAAAAATTAGGGTACGAGCTTTTACACACTTTTAGATTCTTTTACCACTTTGGGGAACACTTGCAGAGCTTAGGTCATCCTTGGGTGACAGCCAATGACCAATCCTAGGGTTTGATTCACATTTCTTCTTTACTTTTCTTTAATTTTTACATTGATGTCATTGATTTCCCTTTGTTCTCATCTTGAATTTGTAGACCCATCCTCATTGAGGGCTAAACTTTCTTGTAATCCTTACTGAGTTCATGGATCCTTGAATTCTTAGGTATAAATGTCAATATAATTCTCTTTCCTTCATGAATTTATATTTCTCAACTCTTTGAATTGAATTAATGGCTGAATGAGGGGGACATTGCTTAATTAACCCTAATTCATTTTAATGAAATTCTTAACTTGGTTTGCTTAATCCTAAGTTAATTTCTAAGGTTGCGTAATCTTGGAAAAAAGAGTTGGAGTTTATTAAATTTGCTTAAATTCATATGGAGTTTTAAGGTTAATTCTCGCTTGTTAAGTTAATCTAATTCAGAGGAAGAGAAAAAGTATTGAATCTTGACAGGAATAGGGATATAGTCATGT